ACTTTAATTACCATGCATCACGAGACACAATTCTTAGCGTATTAATACAACACTGACCGGAACTACAATTTCCAATATAAATAAACATGACGGCTGCTGAAATATCGCTGGGCATTGTCAGATTTGACAATGTCATTGTAAATTTATGTGCAAAATGAAAAATAAAATAAAAAACAGTTTTATTACAGCGAAAACAAGACCAAGGTCTGCAATATCGTACAAAATGCACATCGGTTGAAATCACCAATGCCGGCAATGGAAACATTTTTAACGCTCATGCAATTTATCAAAAATATCGTGTGTTACACTGCACTGGTCAACAGGGGTTCGTTACAAATGTCTGAAAAACACATATTCTATAGACCTACATGTACTGACACATAAGTTACAGACCTACTGATATGAGTCACAGCACATATAAACATTTCAGACATTTGTAACGAACCTGTGCTCCGTCGCAAGATCACTCACTTCAAACGCTATCAGTTTCACGCGTCTCGCATCTACGATTCCTCATTTTAATTCTGACGACAGGTCAAATAACGAGGCTGTTATAGAATCTACCGACTGTTATCAGGTTCCCATACAATCAACAAATAAATTCGCGCCTGGATTCTTCACAAAATGAGCAAAGAGAAAAGTTCGAATAAACTTCCAAAAATAACTCCCTCGTGGAGGGCAAGGTCGGATTTACGGTGTTCACTGTATTTGTCCATGCGAGAAAGTTCCGGAGAAAAATCGAAACAATTTAAAATCGAACTTTCAGCTCAGAGTTCTATTGATAAACTTAAATCACCCTTTAGACATATCATACGCAATTGTATTGATACTGAATTGTGGAATAAAATTAAAGTGTTTGTTAAAATTTCAAAGTACTACTTTGTTTGCCAATCAGCACGCGACAATACGCTGTTCAAACTATTGAACGAAATTGTGTGGACTGTCGATAAGGCGGACATTTTTAATTTTAGATATAAATTATAAGTTAAAAAAGAACATAAGAGGCAGAGAAAACGTAAAGATAAGTATTGAACAGCTTTGTATGGTATTTATGATCTATTTGAATGACACAGCTTTGCAAGCAAACAACATAATGCTTAAATAAACAACAACAGATGCAATACTCTGATGTCGTTTAAACAGAGACAAATATGTCGTACCCGGACTCAGCCTTTCCACCACGTTTTCGCGCTAGTGCCAGTCTTGCTTCCGAGTTGTTTCCAGAATTAGACTGTCCTGAATCCTGAACCACAGCTGCCAAACGTCTTTCTACGTTAACAGTTTCCGGTTTACTTTGCGTCGCCGTTTGTGGGAGTGTACGTAGGTTAGTCTGGTGTCTTAATCTATTATCTGTCTTATCGTCTGTCTTATGTCTTAACCTATTATCTGTCTTATCGTCTGTCTTATATCTTAACCCATTATCTGTTCTATCGTCTGTCTTATGTCTTAACCTATTATCTGTCTTATCGTCTGTCTTATGTCTTAACCTATTATCTGTCCTATCGTCTGTCAGACGACGCTTATACCCACGCGAGTTAACAGTTACAGGCGGTAAATCCTCTGATATACCCTCTGCGTCTCCATTTATTTTATCATCACGAGGAGTTGTCTGTCCAGTGTCAGTACTGGGTCTACCTGTTGGGGCTTGTTTATCCGGAACCTGTACAGAACCAATACTTCCTGCAGTATTTATCACTTGTTTTTTCCTCCTATTCTGTCTAGATGTGCGTTTGATGGAAGAAAAATCACTGAGTAGTCCATCCACTTGCCCACATAGATCACTGACGGTATCCGTGAGGTCGTGTACAGTCCTGTCTCTGTCTTCTAATCTTTGTACGAGCTGATCTCCACGAGCACCCATTTCTAGGAGAACATATCAGCCAAATAATTATTAAAATGAAGTTTACAAATGTTAATAGGATGGTTATATAATATAGTTATGATACTGACAGTGTTTATTTATCTTAAATGATTACAATGTATCATATGGTTAACATTTTCATTTTGGAATGATTCACATTATAAGTCGACGTTTTTACCCGTACTTATGAATTGCTATTCTTTACTGTATTTAAAAATTGCCATTCTTACCTGTACTTATAAATTGTCATTATTACCTGTACCTATGACATGACGTTCTTGGCTGTGCTTGTGAGTAAGCATTCTTACATGTACTAATGAATAAGAATTCTTTTCTGTACTTAATAATAAGCAGTCTTCCCTGTACTTATGGATAAGCATTCCTATCTGCACTTATGCACTCAAGTTCTTACCTGTACTTTATAAACTGAAGTTCTTACTTGTACTAACGAATAAGCATTCTTACCTGTGCTAACGAATTGAGGTTCGTACCTGTATTTATGAAAAAGCATTGTTATCCGTACTTGTGAAGTGGCATTCTTACCTGTAACCCTTTTGCGGTTCTCTTCAATCATCATTGGATGTCTATGTACAAATGTACAATAGAAATGAGAATCAGAAGTGATATTATTTCAAATTTGTATGAGAGGTTATAAAGTAAAATGTCTGTATTTGGAACCAACAGAAAACAGTAATACAGTTGTCATACATGTCTACACAGAATGCCACACTCGCCACGGTATAGCCCTTCCTTCGAATACAGTATAGAATTATTCACATATTGACCAGCCCTGTCACTTACAATGTATATATTTCTACAAAACCCTCACTTAATTGTAGTTATTTATAGGCACTTGTTTCACATTAATCCAGCATCATTACACCGTAATCAATATTATCTTACCTTTGTATCGTTTCCAGTTGGTCCAGGACTGTTCGGTTCGTTCTTTCAACATTCTCCAATACTTGACGGAAAACTTTCAGCTTGAGTGAACAAAGAACATTCAACTGAATCTACTAAAAAACTGTTTTTCACGAAATGGTTACAAACGGTCACATTGATGACATTTCACAAAAAAAGATTAAAGTCAAAATGAAATCTACCGAGGATGAAATTATGAGAATGATCGAGTTCTGGTTGACAGAATCTTTGTTGAGTTTGGTTGCAAGGTTTTCCAGCAGACAGCAGACATACTTATAGGAACAAACTCTGTCCCTGTTCTAGGATAGAGCTCATCAGGGCTGGTAACTGAAACTTTCCAATCCTTTAATTTTACATTCAGATAAATCGACGATGTACTGCCTTTAGATCTCAAGGAATGTATTTCCCACATCGATTGTTTATACCCTCATGTGCTTCAAATAAAAGACACTGCAGACATTTCTACTTCAGCTGCGTTCTTCTATCATAATTAACAATGTGAACGGAATAATACTTAGCTCTACAAATGAAGATTTAGATTTTCCATTTGTGAACTTTCCTTTTCTCAAAAGTAACATTCATGCGTCCACACGCTACGGTGTTAACGTGTCGCAGTTTTCGGCCTATAAGAGCTAGCTCCCAACATCATGATTTCCATGACTTACAACAAAGGGGTTTCCTAAGATGCAGGCTGATGACGACTATGGACAAGTGTAAGGGTCGTCATCAGGATCTCGCGGGAGATATGCTGTTTCTCTGAGGTCTATAAAGGTCGGTCGATTTGGTATGCTCATTAGGAGTGTCTCGTTTTCTCTTCTCGTCGTCAGTACCCTGTTCACGCTTTGACGGCGTGACGTTACTGAACTTGAATTTTACATAATAGTAGTGTTTTTTGTTTGTTTTTGTTTTGTTTTCTGACAATACCAGACTATTAATTTACTAAGTTTTATTCAAAGAAATTATAACGGAAATTACTCCAGCGACAGGGACCTGGCGATTTCCGGAAGATTAAGTGGTGGGTGTGTAAGGTTACATATTAGAAAGACTTACCTCCGCCATACACTCCGCCATGGAGAGTTTTATACCTGTCCCGTTACCTGACGTCATTGTCTCTTTAAAGCGTGTACTTCATTATGTCATGGGAGTTTCGTCCGGCTAGATACCAGTGTGCACTGATATTGATTTGTGTAAGATGTTCGTGGTTTGAGGTGGCATGGTTCTCTCACTATGACATGGAGGGAAACACTGTGAACATAAATATTCGACAGATATACTCCGAGCAGATCTATATATTTGCTCCAATACAATTAATTTTATGAACATTACTAGCACAGGGCCACAGTCATACAAAAACTTCACATTTTTCCAACGGCAATGTCAATCCTATAGTTTAAAAAATAGTATATAAGAAATCTTCCATTTTATGCGATATTCACTAGGAAAATAAAGCACGGAGGCACATTTAAAAATAAGAAAAGTCGTTTCTTTCTTCTTATTTCTAGCTAATGATCATTTCAAATTTGATTACTCTGCTAGTTGACTAGAAGTACCGGATGCTAGCCTTAATAGTGTAGCTGGAAATACTAGTTTATGTTTACATTATCTGGTTTATCTAGCGTTGAGATGTTAATTGTTTTATAAGACCCTTACCCTGTATGTAAGTCTACATATGTTTCGGATTACTATAGTTACAGATTTGCTTTACTTTAGAACAATTGAAGTGGACATATGAAGCAGTATATTCATAAAACGTTTTTATAAATATCATACACGTATTATCATACAGAGTACGACATATAGACACACTGGTTAAGGGGGCATAACTCTTACCAATCATTACACACTTATATTTAATTACAAAGTCAGTGATATGATTTTGTTGTTCATTGTTTCATATTAAACTCTATATCTTCCTCTACATATATAATGATAAAAAGGCGGTTGTACAGCCGTAACTAATTCTGATATAATATCGTGTTTACCGAGTATGTGTACTTCCTATCTAACCTTTGACCTTACTCAGGTAAACTATCTAGGTCATGCATGCTAATTAATCATCGATTCGAATAAAACAGTCCATGTGGACAACAATAGTTGTAACACATAGATCTTACACAAGTAAACACAGACTACAGCAGGTACAACACAACGAGGAAGACAGGTAAGAACACGGTACACAACTTTCGTTTTACATAGACATATCCTTTCTTTATTGAAAGACAATAATAACACAAACTGTATATATATTGATTAACCTAGTTGATTGATATGAAGGTTTAGAGAAAACGCCGAACTGGTGGATATGTACGTACCTCATTCAGCCATACAATCGTTCGTATCCTGTACCGATGTCATAGTTTGGGAATTCCCACCCTACAAGGAAATTCCTGTTCGTATACGTGATACTTTATGTATCTATTTATAGAACAATACACTACTCTTATTTTTTTAAGGTTGGACAGGATTGAGGACCTGGATTTAGCCTTCTTACAATACTGTTGTAACGAAGGAGTCAATTTATTCTCCATATACTTTGTCTTCGCTATGCCTCCTTCATTAATTCATTTACCCATGTTTTTCATCAATATAAGTTACAATGTATATACCTGTACATGCCAAACAATTACTGTACAATGTATCAGCAGTCTGAGAGAGTTTGGTCGGTAGGGATTGTCCCAACCACAACCCCTTTGGCAAGTGACATTTTAAGTTGATACTTTTTAATTGTTAAAATACCAATATACAATGTATGGTTAATCACATCGTTTTTTAGATCATTCAATTCCTACCAGTATTTTTTTTTTATTGATTTTAGTTCATGGCACAAGTATGCGAAGTTTTAGAAGTCTCATAATATATCTGGCATATGGCACGAAGGAGAGCTTGTTAGGTATAGGGGATACCCGATCACCTGCTGCCATGGTATCAGATACGAGACAATATAGGTAACTTTTTGTAATATTTCATATACTTTTTTTTTAAAATATTGGGTCTTTGAGTCTTATAAAATTATCAATATCTTATTTATAATTATGTAACTATTTTGTGAATTTAATTGATTTATTTAGATCTAAGTGATTCCATTGGAATAAGGCCACAATGTGTCTTTACATAAAGACTTGGAATAATCGAATATCTAATCTATTTTTAACACCCTGACTGACTACAAGTTTTATAGCATACATATCTTATAATAATATCTGTGATCAATGTTTATATTTGTGTCTAATTGCAATATGTAACAGAAATAGAGTAGTGTGCTTCTACTGGAGGTCGAACCCGCGAGTCCCTGCAGGTAGTACCTGCTTCCCCCATTGCATGATAGTAAGAGGCGACTAAATTTGGGATATTGTCTTTTCTCTTCTTTCTAAACAACTTTCTTCTTCCTAATTTCTCCCTTGACAGTGCCTCACTTTTGGCCTTTAGTTTAGCGTTCGACCCTGTTAGAAAGGCTTTGGGTTCTGTCCCCTGGCCGAGACATACCAGAGTCTGTAAAAATGGTAGTTTCTACTCCTGCTTAACGCTCAGCAATTAAGGAGCGGTACGACTGGTTCGCCCGTTGTCAGTAAAATGTGACCGGGTGGGGTGTCCTGCTGGGTATCTTCGGCAGTATGTTTCAGTGAGGTAGCACTATAAAGTCGGCATCAATTCCGCGCTATCACAAGGCGACAAACACGAACATACCGCAGCCTCCACAAACACACACGCACACACTACAATCATGCATCTTGCACACAGGGGAGGCCGCCATTAAATGACCATAGCTGTTGATAGGACGTTAAAGAATACTTAACCAAACCAAACCAACGAACCCTCGATCCCTAGGTTCCTAGTCGGACGCTCTACTACTGAGGTAAAGGGAATTTCCTTTAGCTCCAAGCTAGAAGACGACCGTAATTATATGTACAATTAAATCTGCCACATAAACATAAAATAGTATACATGGTATTTTATGCAATGCCTTTCAAATCGAGGTATGATATATTTTGTTCTATTGTAGCTATACGGGCGGATGGTTGTCATGAAGATCTAACACTCAACACGTCTAGTATATCCACACTCTAACAAAGTATCAGGTCCCTGAGTCAGATTGGTCAAAATCCTGCCAATCTTACAAATTCGCAGGTCCCTGTGAGTCAGATAGGTCAAACTCTTCCCAATTTTACAAATTCGCAGGTCCCTGTGAGTCGGATAGGTCAAACTCTTCCCAATTTTACAAATTCGCAGGTCCCTTTGCGTCAGATACATAGGTCAACATCTTCCCACTCTATTGACTTATTATGTCCCTGTGCGTCAGATACATAGGTCAAAATCTTCCCACTCTTTCGAATTATTATGTCCCTGTGCGTCAGATACATAGGTCCAAACCTTCCCACTCTATCGAATCATTATGTCCCTGTGAGTCAGACTAATAATATGATAATGTTTGTCTGTATGATTCTGTAAATGACATTTTATTCCACATCATGGAAATCTTACATTATGGACTCCGGATGAGACATTAGACTAGCTAAATGTTACTATAATAGTTGTCATTAAGCTTTCCTAAATTTGACTAATTCTATTGAAAAAGTCCTAATTCAATAGATCTTGACAAGTCAGAATTACAGGAGGAAATAAAGGGACGACAGAGTATTACAGAAATGAAGACACAAGAGGAAAGTGTTGTGTTACCGACATCTGGTGCATTGCTGTTGAAATGTAGCCATCTTACAGACATAGTCCCATAGAACAGAGTATGAAATGACCCCCGGAACAGTTAATCTTGTAACATGTGCCCTTATCCGGTCAGTCTTTGGTTCCATTTCCTTAATCCGCTATGCATTTAAGTTTTTTGGAAGTACGAATTTCAATCAATATGTAACCTTGAACTTTCATCTGATGACCTGGGAACAAGAACGTGCTGTTAATTTAACTACATGTACATTTTTGCGTAGAAACGCTTGTTTCCTCTATTCTCTACCAACATATTATATAAATCCACACTTTCTGTAACTTTTATTGCAGAACAAGTTCGAAGTTAATATTATCAAAAAAAAATGCAAAAAAAAAAAGATTTTTTTCTCTTCAGAATTGTAAGTAATTCTTTTGTTCCAAATTGAAAAAGGTTAAGCTGATTGTCAGAGACACAGTGCAATTTACATTCCATTTCCATTTTTTTCCTCCTAAAATTATTTTTAAGTTTTAATCGATAATATGGGTGCATGTTTTAAGGCTACTTATGGAAAGAAATTATTAAAACTTGCCTGCTATTCAATCAATTCGCTATTTACATCTTTGTCAATGAAAACTGATCCTATGAAAACAAACCAATGTATAAATAACTGCACTTCATGTCTTTTATTAACTTGATATAGATTTTAATATGGATGAGTTATTAGAAGTAATAAAGGGTCTATCTATATGATACTTAATGATATTTTATTAAATATAATGATATTTTTTCACCGGTTTTATTAAGGTTATTTAACACTATGTTACAAATAGGATATTTTCCAGAGTCATGGGCTCAGGGCGTCATTATTCCTTTACATAAAAAGGGCGATAGAAACAATGTCAATAATTATAACTATTTGCAAAGATGTTTTAATGCCATGTTTGTTGTTATTTAAGAAATAATCAACATATGTGCGTGCATAATGGTGGAATATATAACGAGGGTGAGAAAATGTTGGTAAAAATAATTATCGAAGGCCGCTTCGCACATAAGTTGATTAATTTTATTTAACCGCGTCAAATGTAACTAATTGTAAAGTTTTGCTGTCTTATAAGGCGACATGACCTAGATAATTCGATATGCAAATTAGACCCTGTTCTTTTGCGCGTGCAAGATTTATCACGTGATCGTGTTGCCTCGTTTTAACTTGATCAATGTCGCGCCAACATTTCTCAGTGCGTAGGGTTGGGATTCCCGGATTGCGTTTACTTCTAAAACCATCATCATCGTACCGATATCAAGCGGTTTTTCTTGGAAGTGCCAGTGATACAACATCATACGATAGGCCTGACATGAGTTGCCATATTTAGTTGGTTGCCATGACGTGATGGAAAGTCGCTGACCGGCTGCTCATGACGCGACCTTCACCTTCACCGACTTCACCGGACAGCTGTGTTTTGCAACCACTGTTCAGACCGATGCTACTTTTTGCATCATTATTCTTCACACACGATATGTACACTGTAAGCGAATGCTCGACATCACTTGACCTTGGTAACCAATAACTAACCATACAGTGCAGTGCTGTGATAACTGGCCAGAAATGAAGGAAACAACTGAACACGTGTGACGTCAGATACGATTATAATTTCAATCAATCAAACATTGGCACGCTATCGACATCGTTCGTCAAAACATGAAATCAACGCTTGACAGTACATACACACACTGCACATCGTGAAATGTACGGCACTACCCAGTGAAGTAAAAACAGAAGTAATTAATAATTTACCATTTTGTCTTCAGACCTGTACATTTTAAATGTCAATAATTAATAAACCATTTTCACTGCACGGACCCACATACTTTAGGTCTATAGATACGTGTAATCTTTTGAATGGCAGGCCTGTCAAATGTTTTGATCCCGCCTGACAGTTATGCTATTTTTGTTAATTCATGATAAAATACGGGGAGGTTGTTGGAACAGCATTATTTCACTATTTCACGTGCATTGGTTATTGGCACGCGCATGGTATATCGCTCAATAATGTACTCTTTTTAACCAATGAAAACCGTCGTTACATCACAGACGTGGTAGAATATTCAATAATATATTCATGTCTGGTTGTTTCCCGTCATCGTGGTCACTTGGTGATATAGTTCCTGTTTTAAAAAAGGTGACATTAATAACACGGACAACTATAGAGGTATCACCTTGTTAAGTTGTGCTGGTGCACTTGTTACTGCTATCATAAATGAAAGACTCGTATCGTTTGAAATGCAATATAATAAAGTAACAGACGCCCAGTTTGGATTTAGGAAAAAACGCTTCTACTGTAGACGCCATTTTCGCTTTACAATCTTTAAATAATCGTACTTTAAAAAAGAAAAAAACGTCTCTATTGTTGTTTTATAGATTATACAAAAGCGTTTGATCTTATTAACAGACAGAATTTATGGTATAAAATGATCAAAGAAGGTGTAGAAGGTAAACTTTTTTAAAGTGATGAGATCATTATATAAAGGTGTGAAATGTTGTGTTAAATATAATGGCACTCTCTCCGAATTTTTTGATACTGAAAACGGATTATTTCAGGGGGAAATAATATCACCCATTTTGTTTGCTATATATGTAAATGATTGTGAAATGCAGTTTTTATCAGATAATTGTCCATCTATTGAAATACAGGATATCAATATTACTTATGTATGCAGATGATATGGTGATTATATCTGAAACACCAGAGGGTTTGCAAACAATGTTAGACTCTCTTGCAAATTATACCAAAAAATGGGATTTGACCGTAAATACTGGGAAAACAAAAAGTGTCGTGTTTAGAAATGGAGGGATATCAAGGTGAAATAAAATATGGTTTTACGAAGGAAATAAATTGGATGTTGTCGATCAATTCAATTACCTTGGTGTACTATTTAATTTTAACGGAAAATTTAGACAAACTCAAAAGCAAGTTGTTGACCAGGGGAGAAAAGCTTTGTTTGCATTATTAAATATTTGTAAGAAAAATTATTTTAATATAGAAACTCAATTGTCTGTTTTTGATACTTATGTAAAGAGTGTTTTAAGTTATGGAGCAGAAGTATGAGGCTTCCATGCCGTGCCAGATATCAAAAAATTGCAAGGAGATTCTGCAAGCAAATATTAGGATTACATAAAAAAAAACTAGTAATGTTATGGTGTATTCATGAAAAGGTAACCCTAATGAGCTCTATATAAGGATGCATTAAATACATTGGACATCTCTAAATTGTCTTACGTTGATTCCAATCAAAAAGTATACTGATATCCTGCAAAATGCAAGAGTGTTGTAGTCTATAATAATTCCAGTATCAACAAACCTCATTAAGTCTAAATATCATACTGGCATGTCACAAGTGTTGTCGAACAACATAGGTTTTAAAGTTAATGTACATTGTTTAAACAAACACAATAATTACATAAAAATAAAATAAAATAAATAAAATAAATCTTGCACTAAAATCGTTTCGACTTACAGATACATTTGTGGACAGAGTCAAATATATTTAAGTTATATTGATCTGGCATATCAGGATTACCATACAGCAGCAGATTTAAATTATTCCCATGTGGAAGATTTCTAAAACATTGTAATCTTAATTGTTCGAAGTTAGGACAAAAGAGGAGAAAGTGTTCAGTAGTTTCAGCAGAACGGTTACAAAAACACATGGGACTTTCTACTAAGTTACGTAAAAATAAGTGATTTTTAAGGGAACTACAGTTCATCCTCAGTCGAGCGTGGTGAATTTGGCCAACTCTACTTTTGCAGTAGTAGTAATAGGATAGAACTCAATTATTGTGATG